TATATATATATATATATATATATATATATATATATATATATATATATATATATATATATATATATATATATATATATATATATATATATATATATATACTGGAACTTTTAAGCTTTGACATGTATCTCAAATACATGTTTACGAATTTAGCGTAGATCAAAGAACTGCCTGACTGTTATGATCTATAGACATCTTCAAAATTTATTATAAAGAGTAGAATGTAGAGTAGAATGTAATATTATGTAGAGTACAATGTTAGAGTGCATGGTAGAATGTTGAAATACACATTAAAATTTTTCTAGTTCACAAGATAGATTGAAGAACTATTTTATACCATAAACCCAACAGTCTTGTTGTTTAAGGCTGGACTCTCATGAACTTTGAGCTGGTTCAAGTTTTTGATGAAAGTTGATGAGAGTTTTTGTTCGTTTAAACAGAACATCCAGTCAACTCTCATTAACTCTCATGCCACTCTTGTTCCCAGTGTTTGAAAACTCATGTAAGTAGAGTTTGGTTTGTCCATCGACTCTCATGCACTCTCATCAACTCTCACCAATTTTGAGTTCGTCAAATGTTAATGAGAGTTGATAAGGGTTTTTGTGATCGCACGGTAATATCCAGTCAACTCCCATAAACTCTCATGCAACTCTTGTTCTCGTTTGACCGGGGCATGAGCGTTGAGAAAACTCTCGTGCAAACTGTCGCTTCTCAACTCTCATCAACTCTCATGCAAACTCTCACTTCTCAACTCTCATGTAAACTGTCGCTTCTCAACTCTCATCAACTCTCATGCAAACTCTCGCTTCTCAACTCTCATGCAAACTCTCGCTTCTCAACTCTCATCAACGCTCATGCAAACTCTCGCTTCTCAACTCTCATCAACTCTCGCTTCTCAACTCTCATCAACTCTCATGCAAACTCTCGCTTCTCAACTCTCATCAACTCTCGTGTAAACTCTCGCTTCTCAACTCTCATCAACTCTCATGCAAACTCTCGCTTCTCAACTCTCATCAACTCTCATGTAAACTCTCGCTTCTCAACTCTCATCAACTCTCATGCAAACTCTCGCTTCTCAACTCTCATCAACTCTCATGCAAACTCTCGCTTCTCAACTCTCATCAACTCTCATTGTGGTTTGAGCAGGGTTTAACTGAGCCTCGGTGAAACGAGGATAAGAGTTGATGAGAGTTGGTAGTCATGTATTGTTGCAGGGGATATTTCAAGCTTTAAATGAACAAAATAAAGCTTTCGTGAGTGTTCCAACTATGTTTTAATAGAATACATGATAGTGTTGGGAGCCTCAGGTGAATTGAGCAACCGCGGCTGGTGCAATCAACATTAATATATCATTATTATTATAATTTTAATTATCACAAACCTTAATGCCTTCCCTCATATATTCCTCTTGTTCAGATTTCAATGTCAGCTCAATGAACAGTTGCTGGAGTTGCAATAGTTGATGCAAAATTGTTCAAAACTACAAGAAAAGAACAGTGTTGACCTTTAACTAGGTCGGAAGCTTCTCACCACAGATTGTTTGGGAAACACTTGGACAGCGCAAAACAGAAACCAAAATCATATAATAATGACGACACACGTAAAAATCTCACAACTTTTAACAAGATGTGTTCGCAGCAGGTTTGTAGCAAGCTTGTCAATAATTTGTGGCGATGTTGTTATTTTACTACTAAGTTTAAAGTTTGTTCGTTCACTGCAACCAGCAGGTATATCAATCATGTTTCGCTTGTCACTCACAACTTGTTCACAAGTTGTTGAATTGCAGGACGATAACAAGTTGTTGGAACAACGTGTAACATGTCTGTTGAGCTCAACAATCTTGTAGCAAGTTATTAACAAGCAGTGCGAACACATCCTGTTGACAGGTTGTTGGAACAGCATTGTTACAAGTCTGCTGCAGGTTTGTTACAACTTGTGCATTTTCACGATTGCAGTCAATAAGCCATTTCCGAATATTACACACGTAAATACGCACAAGTTGTAACAAGTCTGCAAACAAGCTGTCACAAGTCTGTTCACAAGCTGTCAACAAGTTGTGTTCGCATTGCTTCTTCCCAGTTTGTTGTAACAAGTTTGAAACAAGCTGTTAATTATAACAACTTGTAACAAGCTTGATGGCATTATCAGCCTTGTTACAAGACTGTGCTAACAAGTTTGTTACAGCCATGCATGATGTAACAAGGATGTTACAAAGTTGTCAACACAAGGTTGTAACAATTTTGTTATATCAAGCATGTAACGGACTTGTCAGAACAACCTTGCAACAAGTCTGATAATTTCGACAAGGTTGTTACAAGTTGTCAACAAGTTGTTCCAAACCTGTTGATAACTTGTGACAAGCAGTGCGAATACATCTTGTTGACGGCTTGTTGGCAGACTTGTTACAAGACGCGAGATATTTAGGTGTGTAATTATGCCCTATACACAGCTAAAAACACGCAAGTTGGTAACAGATCTTCAAACAAGTTGTAACAAGGTTGTGTTGTCAAGGTGATATCAGGATGTGTTTGCACGGCTTGGTCGCAGTTGTTGTCACAAGTCTGGAACAAGTTGTTATCACCTTGTGATAAGGTTGAGTACGGTAACAAGCTTGTTACATTTTGTTGCAGAAAACTAATGCAGGTTGTTCGTAACAAGTTGCTACGAGCTTGTTGTCATCAACTTCCTTACAACTTGTCACGTGTACACTACCTGTTGCGAGTGTGTTGGTCTCATCAACCTTGTTACAAGTTGTTAAACAGCTTGTTCCAAACTTGTTACAACAACTGGGAACAAGCAGTGCGAACACAACATGTCGACAGCTTGTGAACAGATTTGTAACAACTTGTTTGCAGACCTGTAACAACTTGTGTGTTTTTACGAGTGTATCGTCTGCACGTCACAAGTTGTTAACAAGTTGATGGCAACAAGCTCGTAGCAACTTATTACGAACAACCTGTACTTCTTTGGTTGGAACAAATTGTAACAAGTCTGTCACCGTCATCAACTTCGTAACAAGGTGATAACAACTTGTTCCAGATTTGTCACAACAACTGGGAACAAGCAGTGCGAACACATCCTGATATCGGCTTGACAACAACCTTGTTACAACTTGTTTGCAGATCTCTGACAACTGGCAGTTTTTACGTGTGTACACAAGCTGTAAGTTCTTTCAACGTTTTCTCTTAGATTTAATTTAATATATAATTTAATTCAGTGGCGAAGCTAGTCATAGCAACAGGTCATGCTATGCACATTTTTAATGATTTGCATGATTCAAACTTTAGAAATATATTGTCTTTAACCTAATTAGGTATACGTAAAAACGCACAAGTTGTTACAGGTCTGCAAACAAGTTGTCACAATTCTGTTCACAAGCTGTCGACAAGTTGTCTTCGCACTGCTTGTTCCCAGTTGTTGTAACAAGTTTGGAACAAGCTGTTAACAACTTGTAACAAGCTTGATGACATTACCTGACTTGTAGCGAAGTTGTTCTAACAAGTCTGATACAGTCATAATATAAAAAGAATGTTACACGGTTGACAACACAAGTTTGTAACAATGTTGCTATATCATGACTGTATCGACTTGTTGGAATAAGCTTGCAACAAGTACGATAATGTCAACAAGATTGTTACTACAAGTTGTCAACAGCTTGTTCCAAACTTGTTGACGACAAGATGTGAGACATGTGTGCAGGTAGTACACACCTGAAAATCTCACAACTTGTCAACAAGATGTATTCACAACAGGCTTGTCAACAAGTTGTAACAATGCTGCGCTGCTATTTTTGTCAAGTTGCTCACAACTTTGTTTTGTTTTGTTTGTTTTGCAGGCAGCGATTGAGGCAAGTTGCAAACGACCTACTACTTTATTCTCAGATTAACAACGTCGCGTTATATTTAACAAATATTCGCCGAAGGCGAGGTGATTATCGGAGAATATTATACCTCAAATTCAAATTGTCCAATCAGGAAGCTTAGTTTGTGCCACGTGAGCATGAAATTAATTGCGATATCACGCCTTACGTCATCAATTAGGGAGCCTGCGTTCCTTTTGACAATAATATGTTCCACCCCATGTTCCCCATGACGAGCCAGACAGCTCCAGATTGGCAGCTCCAGATTGGCGAATCTGGAGCCAGCTCCAGATACAATTTCAATCTGGAGCTGGAACGACTAGTTTGTAAACAAACTGCTTTGGACGCTTAACTACCGATGGATATTCAATTCTTTTGAAAGACCATTTTTTCTTGTCATATTCCTTAGTACATGATGGAAAATGAAAACATTATTCCGTTCCGTTCGTCCATGGTGGCTTCTGAAAGATCACTGTTTTTTTCTGACAAAGGGAATGGTCAGCGGTCGGATAGATCGCAAAGCTCGTTAAAAATCTTATTTTGTTACCTTTATAATTAAAAACTTAAAAATTTGATCGATGACCATCCTGGAGAATGTATTCAAAAGTAATTTCATGCGCTCAACTTATTTCCACGTCGCGAGACTGCGATAAATAACTCGCGCAAAGTTGAACTGTCTAATTTCGCGCACGGCCCGGCTGTGTTAATTTTATCCTTCCGTGAATACAACAACTTTGGTATCCGTAAATTTACGCTTTCGAGGAGTAAGAAATTGATATGTTGATGACATAATATCATTTGTTGCGCTTTTCTGAAGAACTAACGATATAAACATGTTTAATATCCGAAACACACAACGGAAAGGAGATCGCTAAAAACGGTGTTATTATGCGGCTCAAGTCGTCGAAAGGCCATAGCATGTCAAATGCGTCTAGCATCGTCTAAATTGCTTCGCAAATTTCTTGCCAATTTCGCCCTGCCACGAATTTCTAAAAGATGACCCTTCTAGAGAAATATTCATACTATCATATTTTACAGCATTTGAAACTTTAGGATGCATATCCACCATGAGCAACTCATGAAAACACTAGCATTCGTTACCGAGATGAGAAATCAACTTTCAAGAGATGTGAAATATTACACCTAAACAATATTCCGTGTTATCTGGCACGTGCAAGACATTTAATAATCTCAGGGGAAAACCGTATTAACTATAATGTCATGCATAGGTTTATATACGCTGTACTCTTTTTTTTAACACGTGAGCTAAAAACATCGTTTTTGCCAGTATAAGTTAATTAATA